AAATCAACGCCGATAAATTCCGTTGTGCGAATTTTCATGTCAAATGTTTTCGCTTAAATTCGCAGTTCGATGCGTTGCTATTTTCTAAGCAAATTCACACATAGATAAATAGACCACAATTCTCATTAGAACTTAATTATAAATGTTTCACATGAATTTTGCTTTGGAATTTTTGCCATCACTTGAATATCTCGCGGCTAAATATCGAGTGAATTGAATATGAATAAAATGAGGTAAATTTCACTCTCAGACACATTTTGTCTGCGTGCTCATGAAATATAAGTTAGCATTTAAATATTTACGCATGAAATATACTCATACTCGTTGATCAACATACAATTTTTTTTTCTGGTAAATTTTACCGCCAGCAAAAAATGCATTAAAGGACAAAACCGTCTGAATCGTTGATGTTTTGGAAACTTTTTCTCAGATTTTCCCTTTGAAATCGTTTCGGTTCGTTTTCGGTGCAGAGTTTTTTCTTCTTCGCTCATTCGAAGTGAATGTACATTTTTGTACGCGAATTTTTGATTGGGTTTACCTTTCATTTGCCATTTATCTCGCGCGACGAAATTTGATTCATCTTCTTATTCTTGATAGCACATGCCTGTCGGTGTCAACATTAAGGCGAATATGAGTCTAACAAAATGTGCAAACCATAAAAAGAAACAGAAGAAGAGAAGCAAAAAAAATATATGCAAAACACCAGAGGGAAGAAAAACCCTTTGTGTCGGACACACATAATGAGACGAAATCCGAGAACATTTACCGATGAGCCTTCGTTTTGAGTTTAATGAATTTTAAGCCAAATTGATGTCATCCAAATTTCATTGGAAAATTCTTACGCTAGACACAACGATTGGGTTCAACAAAAAGAGTATTCAAAGGTTCTTATGTCAAGTTTCTTCAACAACATTCGATACAACAATAGACCGTTTTTTTTTTCTTTAAATTTTTATAAGTTATGACCTTTGATACCTACTAAAACTTACTAAATGAGAACGCTTTTGCATAGAAGACCCGAATCGTTCATTCAGACAGAAAGTCATCCAAAGTGAATTTGTGCGTTTGACAATGTAACTCTGGGAATTGAGTGCTTTCGTTTAATAATTTGCCTTCAAATGATTTACTCAAACATAATTTCCTGCCAAATCATTGGCAGACGAGACGAACATTTTGTAAAGCATAAAAAATGATAATTTAATGAAAAATAAAACATTGTAAATTGAACATGTGTACGTTGAGCATGTTCGATAAGTCTATGCATACGCCACGAAATGAAGAAAAAAAAAATAGCGGGGAGCACTTATCGTAATTGTGTATCATTTATATGAATTTCCGTTCTAAATTTTATTTAATGATGCGCTGGCTTTGTTATTGAGCGTGAGAAAACTCTCGAAACGTATACGTTCATTCCACGAACATTCATATTGTTCGTCGTATTAGATAGCTCTCGCATTTGGGCGAACGCTGCAAACGAATTGAAATGAACACAATTTTCCTTTTTAATTCAGCATTACCACGAATGCTACAAAATTGTGAGAAGAGCGTTCCTCGCAAAAGCGAACGATTTTTTTTTTCTCTTTATTTCCAGAATGAGTGAACATATTTTTACAAAGAGCGTATTTGCTGTATGGCGAAGAGAATATAAAGAAGCTTCTTTAAACCATATATGAACTGTTTTGAATGCGAAAAACATGAATCGCATCGATGCGTACAAATACACGACCAACAGAGCAACAGCATTATCATCGAAGCAAATGTTGAATTTGCGTTCGTTTTTTTTTCTTCGTTTGTTCAAAATAGAGTACTTTCGAACTCAAATGAGCAGAAATGAATTCATACCAACACTATTACCGAACGAACCACCTCATGCTCACCCGCAATAATTTTTATGATGTAAAAAGATGCAAAGCGAATTGAGGGGCTTCAAATAAAATGAAAAATTATTTAAAGTAGGTAAATGCCATTGACATTCATGTGCAGTGAGTCGATGTATTCCTTTTCTTTGGGAACTTTACGTTTGTTCATTTTATTGAGGGCACGCTATAATAAAAGAAATGAGACACACAGAATATATACTCGTGATGAAGCACGGTACTTAGACACAAAAAGAAGATTCTCTCAATCATCCAAATAAAAATAAAATCATTTTCATTTGATTGCACGTAATGCAAAATGTTATGTATATTCGGAATATTACAGTTCACCACTCGCACCGACGCATTTTCAAATGTGTGCAACTGAAAGTGAAGTGATTTCTTCTGTTATTTATTCACAAGCAACTCGCTTTGAATTAAATGATGCAAACGGAATTTTGAGATTTTTCGGTTGTATGTCTGAGTTTCTTTCGTCTTTTATTCATAATTTTTTTTCGGGAGATTTTATCTACTGTCTTCTAAATTTTATAGATCCAACTTTATAATCCATTGACTTGAAGTGATTCATCAGTGATGTTGAAAGTAGTGTGAGGGAGAAGAGATAAAAAAAATGTGTTGAAAAACACAACCCCCAACGGAATGGAATATAAAACTCTTTAGCTGACATCAAGATTGAAACTGTGAATCTAGTGTTGCGGTGCAAATCACACGCATACATAAAGTTATTCTTTGAATAATGCCATTCAGATGGATGCTCCAATAGAGCAATCCAATGCAGACAGTCTTAAGAAAGAATGAAAGAGAAAAATATAAAAAAACCAACATTTGTTCAATTGACCAAATCACAAATGGCATTCCATGCGTACACAGTTCTTTTGATGGTTTCGTAATGAAATTATCTTGTCAACAAAATGATTTACACGCATATTCATCATGTTTATTCGGGAGACTTTTATTGCATAAAATAAACTTAACGACTTAATCAAGACTGATGTTTTAGCAATTTTCCACGCAAATGTTTTTCGTCGCTCTCTGATTCATTTTCGTACAATTGTGTACGCAGTAAAAAAGCAACGATGATGATGACGACGTCAACGAAAACATGTAAAATAAGCAATATTTTCTTGGCATTGATGTTCATTCTGAAATTTCCATTTGATTAACATACTACACATTTTGCATTCAAATTGTGTGCATATCTCGTGGTACAATAACCATTTTCACCACTTTCACTCGCTTCGAAATGCAAATCAAAATGTTAAATATTATGAACATTTCGGCTACAATCGAAGACGGAATAGTTCGGTCTGTTGCGATTACGTTTAAGGTCATGGTCATATTTCGTCGAAGGCAATGTATTTCTACACACCATTAAATACGGTGGTGGTGGTCATTTAAATGCCAAAATTAATGTTAGGTTAGACGGTTGTGGTTCTACATATGTTTGTTTCGATTTAAGTGAATTCAAATTGAAATGTGCGTCTTAAGTAAAATATTACGGTATATGTGTTGGCCACACACGATATGGTGATGGCGGCGAATGTGTTAACATGTTCATTTTTGTGTCTTGATTTGCTCATGGCCGAATGGGCTATTTTTATTTTTGTCTAAGTGGACGAGCAATTACTCGGCCGTTGAGCCGTTAAAATATCGAAGAAAATACCAAAGAATGGTCATAATTAGATTCGCTGTGCGGGTTTCACAGCCACACAAATGCTCGATTGTGTTGTCTGCAAGCCATTTGATAAATAGACAGACGTAAATTAAAACATCAGCTCATGAAATTAATGACAAGACAAAAACGGAAGAGAATTATCCCAAATTGTTCAACGAATTGCTTCTGTTGTGATAGATAATGAGAATGAGAAAGAGATAGATAGGAAGATGGAATGTGGAGGTGATAGTGAACAAATGATCCGAAATGTATGAGCTTTTTCCTAGACTTTTTCCGTTTCACGTACGCAATGTTGCGGAATAATATATGGTGCGTCATTTCGGCAGGGTCAACATGAAACGAAGAAATAATACAAAACCAAATCGAAGCAAATTCGAAATGGAATGCCAAAACTAAGACAACAACGTAACGCACACATAAATATTTATTTTCTGAATTTCTGTTGTAATTGCTTCTCATTAGTAGATATAAGTGTATTATTCGACATCCAAACTACTATACAACTAGTACAAATATTATTCGCATTTTGTGTTATTTGAATACTGAATCATGAAATGTTCGGATGTAATTAATTCTGATGTTTTGAGGCGAACGCACTTGCACAACGAAAAAATTTTCGAACATATGCCCCAGTTACTCAAAATATTAACGAATTTATACAATAATATGATCACAATGATGCTTCCAATTTCAATCATTTAGTGTTGAGTGCATGAGTGTATGGCAGAGTAACCTATGAAGAGGATGTGTTTTGTGATTAACAATTGTTTGTACATGGAAACGTTGATTGTGTACATTTGAATATTGATTTTACCTTCAAATATGTTGATAAAATCATTTATTAAGCAATACATTGCAATGTTACTTTGCCAAGCATGCTCTGTTTTCAGTTAATACATATATCAAATCATAATGGAAAATTATTTGTAGATAGAAGGAAGTGCATCACTCATTCTGTCGTTTAACTTTTCTAATGATTGGGTTAGAATATACAAACTCGACATATATGTCGAGTCTATAAAAATGGAACAACTCCATACAAAATATGCTCAAATTTTAAATATCTTTCAATTTTAATGTGTAATTATTATTGTTGAGCTAATGAAACTTTAAAGCACGCGTGTACCTAAGTCAAAACCGAAAGGTTGAATTTAACAAATACCCTTCCCCTTAACATCTCATGAAACTTACACGCACTGTTTTTTTTTTTTTAACTACCCCATTAATGGAACCCACATATAAAAGTTATCATTCCCGAATTAAAGTTAAACTGCTAAATCTGTTATACATCTGTTAATTGAAGCGATTTATTATTCATGTGGGATTATTTAATTGTTTGATAATTTTCATTTAAATGCTTGATGTTAAATAAATAACGGAATTCATTAATTTTTTTTTGTCCACATTGATGATTTAAAATTTATTTGTTTATTTCTCTCTTTCATTAGGTATGGCAAGCACGATTCAACGCCCACGCGATGGATACAATACATTTACAGATGGCAGCACAACACAGCCACCGTTTAATTCATTTTTAAATCCAAAATGGAATGAACCATATTTTGACAACAGTGTACCGAATAATGTGACAGCATTGGTGGGAAAATCAGCGTATTTAAGCTGCCGAGTTCGGAATCTAGGCAATAAAACTGTATGTTAACAATTCTATAGCTGTGGTTTTTCTCGAATATGCACTATCTAAATATTTCGCTGTTTTTTGTTTAGCATTCGTTAGCAAAAAATACTAAATTTAAATATGGGCTTTCGCCCACGGGTAAAGTTTTTTTTTTCGAAATGTGATCACTTTCAATCAGACACATGCAGCCAAATTATTCATCAAAAAATTAAATTATTGATGAAATTTTTTTAATGGAATATTGGTTTTCATTTGATTATTTAAATATGGCTATGGTGCCCACATTAAAGAAAATATAATATATACAATTATATTTTGGTTCTTCAAAGAATTTACCAGTCAAAAGCGATTACAGTAAATATTATCAATTTCATTATCTGAGGTACCGATATATTAACAATAGTAGTACAATGTTAGTTTGTATAAAAGTGGAGATAGGGGTATACTGATTCATTCTCTTTTTTCTGGTTTTCATTATCAAAATTTCAGTTGAATCGTCTTCAATGGAGAGGCTTCAGTACTATTATGAAGTTGATTTTTTTTGTTGATATTTGTTCATTAACATATTTATCTATTAAATACGGCCAAACCACATCATGTGATATTCACCACTGCAAAGAAAACCATTAAAATGAAATGAATAATCAAAATATACTAGAGCAAAAAAATGTGACCACAGCCTAAAGTAGAAATTGTCACGAGAATGGGCGGTTTGTTGAATTGACACATTGCTACATTCGCAAGACTGATTTTTCCGCATTTTCATGCATTGCTTTTATGAACCAAAATGTTATTTTGTTTTTGGAAATTTCAAAAATGTTAGAAATGTCAGCATGGACCAAAAATCAATTTTTCAAACTACTCTTAAGAACTGTAGATTTTTCTATTTTTCTTTGCAAATACGATTTCAAGGCTTCGGGGTTGGTTTAATACCTTTACCTTACGTGAGCGAAAAGCTAAAAATGATATCATGACAATAAAAACTTCTTTATGTTGTGTGAACGCGATTATGCGTATGGGAATAACCACAGACATTTTGTTTGGTGTGACCGTGGGGGTTGTAGATAAATATTTATTAGAAATTCGTTAGTTGTTTTTCAACGACTGACCTCATCCACCATGATATTAATTACATAGCATAGTTGCTGATGTAAAATAAAAACCGAACATGTAATGTCACTGATATTTTTCACGACGAAACCTTTATAATTTGAACCCTTTTCATGTTTTGCTTTTGATATTATTACAAAGGCTCCATATTATTTATTAATAACACATTTATCTTTCCCTGCAATCAATTACAATGAATTTTTTTTCTTCGATATTTTCAATATTTGTATGTAAAATTTCTGTGAAACTTTCCTTTTTTCAAACGAACACATCATAATTATTCCAAAACTCTGACGGCTTTAATTCAATAAATAAATATTTATATAATAAAAGAAAATACAATTTTTTATGCAAAAAATAATATTTTGAGCTATTCCATTTTATACAATTGTAAATATCGGACCTCATGGGATATTAATATGCAAATAGAACATACATTTCACACGCATTAGTTGTTTGAATGCATCAACAGTCCTTTCTACATTCCACTTTATCTGTTAGTGCTGGCACAAAAAATCCATATGATATTGAATCATTCACAAAGTTTCCCTAAGTGTTTCAAAAAAAAAAAATAAGTTCGCTCTTTGTAATGAGCCACATTTCAAATCTCATTTTAACCTTATTTCCGTAATTGATGTTGTCTGTGCACAAATTTTAATCTATTCCGGTTCTCTTCTATATTCGATGTGAACACGACGCATTGCAAGCGCTTTTTAATCATTATTTCATTACAGGTTTCATTCATTCGACATAGAGACGTGCACATCCTTACAGTGGGGACGTATACCTATACAACAGATCAGCGCTTTCAAACAGCATACCATCGCGAAATCAACGAATGGACCATGCAAATTAAATGGGCTCAAAAGCGTGATGCTGGATACTATGAATGTCAAATTTCAACCATTCCAATCAAAAGCTATTCGGTGAAATTGAATGTAGTTGGTGAGTATGTTTTATCTCTCTAAAACATTTAATTTGGTATTTTTGGTTCGAGTAATTTTGGGTCGCTGTAACGTTTTGGTTGAACGGACACCAACACATGCAACTGTAGTATTCGGGTTAAAGGTTTCGGTAGCGAAAAAAAGGTGTGAACCGTTTGTTCAGAATGGAAACGCAAAAACGTGCATAATTTAATCAATTTGGTGTCATGATGAAATTTCAAAGTAAATTGTAGCCACAAATACGTATTTTCAAAGCCCATTCAAACGGAAGAGAATTTATTCGATTTGAACAGAATTTTTGCGATATCTTGCACATTACGAATGCAACGCTAATTACCTCATTAATTTGAATTGATGTCGAAAATATACGACAAATAGTGATACATCATGCGTAACTAGAATTTTCATTTATTTAAAAACATCGTGTCTGCGTGATAAATTGCGAATGAAATGCGATCTCATTTTTTCTACTCTTCTCTTGTTGCTATTGAATTAAATGTCATTTTCTGAAAATAGCTCATTTTAAAGTGACTATGTGTCACTTGAAATTAACGCTCGGGAAATTCAATGTGGTATTTGATGCATGTATGTTTGAAAAATTGAGTTTTCAAATCAAAATGAAATGAAATATCGCTTGATGAAATTGAATAATAAATGAATAAAATATTGAATTTTAATAATGTGGGAACAAACACGCTGCGCACGAAAGACCAAATGTCGACCAATGAAACAAATGAAATATATTTTTAAACAAACACACATAATTGAATTCAATAAAAAATATTGTGACTGTAATTTGAGCCGCACGGTATAGATTTACTATCGACTCAAGGCATCTCGAATTATTGAAGTGAAGACTGATTTCAAACATGGGTGTTTATTTGATTGCTTACTGCATGCTTTGCACACAATACCGCATAATTTAAAGGGTGCATCCATCAGTCATGCAATAGTGAATCAAATTACATAGGGCGTCCACATCAAGAGGCTATTAGATAAATTAACTACATAATTGGTTTGCTTTTCGTTTTTATGCTTCCTCTTGTTCTTCGAATACTACCCATTTTACAAAATAGAAATAAATAATATAATATGGACACTGGATCTTTATCAATCGACCAAAATGAACATGCGTCGTTAAAAGCAATAATCAACGACAAAGGAACTTCATGGAAGCTTATCTCTGAAACCGTATTAACTGAATGGATATACTGTTGCTACTGAAGTTATTCTATTTTTTAAAAAAACTAATTTCACGTACTTAACGGATTTGTAATGGTGCAAATTCCACATTTCATTTACAACATTAGCGTCATTTATACTGAAAAGAATTCCCAATTTCACGTATTCTGTCATTTACGTTAGTGGAAATGCCATACAACAATTGCGTATAAAAAAAACCATTATCCATGTAACAAAACTTTCATTTTCATTTCACGTGAATCCAGTTCGTTCGCATTATAATTTGAGAGCAGTGATAGACAGAAAAAATTGTGTTAAAGAGACTCTGTTCCATTTAAACGGGATTCAATTGTACCGTTCATTTAGTTTTTGCACTGTTTTATATGTCTTTCGAATAAGCTGACATATTTTAATATTGAATTGTCCTCATTTCGAGCATATTCTCTTTTTTTATGTTCTGTGCGATACTTTCTGAAATGAGCCGTAATGCTGTGACACACGAAAAAGAAGTGACTGCTTTGTCATATGCTGAGCAATCATAATGGAATTGAGGATGACGTCATGGTGAGTCTTTCATAAGAAATGGAAATGAAGAGAAGTGAAATGATCGATCAAATCCGTTGAGGTGTGAAATGTCTCCATGGGATTAGGCTTTTTGTCTTCAATTCTGCCACGGTTAAATGGAAAGTAGGGTTACCACATTCATGTTATGCGTACAGCCCCTGCTTTTAATAACGCTTTTATTGTTCTCTGGGGACTGAACCGAAAAAAAGGAAGCGAAATACAGAAATTTAAGAAAAACCAAAAGAAGTGTCAACTTGCATCCCCATATCACCAAATCAGCTGAGGCATTAAATATGATACCGTACAAGTTACCATAGCATTGAACGTTGAATTTCAAAACTTCATCATCACTAAGTGGTTTTATTCGATTTGAACGTGCAGTGGCGAAACACTTAAAATACTGCATTATATCCGGTTTTGTTAATAGAATCAATCAATGCCACAGCCAGGCATAAGTTTCTGTCATCGGGTTATTATGTCATGTCCTGAATTCCTTTTTTTTACTCAATCGAAAACCAATGTGGAAGAGTGATGATTCTATTCCGTACAAAACCATTTGAAAATGTCACATGTCTTTTTATAATTCCAAACGAAATGACATTTTTGCCACATTTAATTGCTATTCGAAAATAAAAAAAGCTAAAGGTGAAAATGAATGAAAAAATTCCATTTTGTGTTGGCCGCACTGAGATTTTGCATACAAGTTACCATTCATGATGACTCTTATGGCTTGGGAATTATTTTTAATACAACCCCTTCATTTTCAGTGTAATGTTTGCGTTGAACCACAAAAACCAGTGATGTATTTAAATTGTCAACACATTTCTCTCATCATTCGCTCTCTTGCTCACACTGTCTTCTTCATCTTTTGGCTATGGCTTTTGTAGCATTTTTTTCACAGTCGTTGTGCTCTAATTATAATTTTTTTCTCTCTCTCTGTGCATCTCCATTCTCTATGCACCATCAATTCGAACGTTTCCATTCACGAGGTGAGACATGCAAAACTGAACGCCGACAACACAGAGAGACGAACACAAACGTTTATTTTCCACATGAAAGAATCTTTTCCATGGCATTTTCTGTTTCCTCAAAATGTCATTGACTCTGGTTGCACGCTTCACAGCTTTATATTGCTTGTGCCGGCACACACGAACACACACTCACAGCAACATTGCATAATACCAAATGAACGAACGAACCCTTATCTTCTTCTAGTTTTTTTTTTAATTTGTTGTTTACCAAATACAACCATCAATGTAGAGCCATTGCACATGCACACAGTATGTGCCTGACATTATTCCGGGAATTCATTTACTTGTTCGTACCACATCGGCCATTTCTATTTTCTCAACTTGTGCATATTGAATGCACTTTTTGTTCCCGCACACTCTACATTCATTCACATATTTTTCCTTTTGTACGGATTTTATACAATATTCGGCTCACTTCACCACAGCATTCAAGCGCACATAGAAAATTGCATATGAAAACACAAAAAAAAAAAATCGAGAGAATAACAGTGCGACAGATAAAGCTCACAAATTCTTTAGTTAGTAATTATAAAACGAAGAAAACACGTGTCAAACAGAATGGAATAAACCTTCTTGTTAATGCAGATGGTGAAAAGAGAATTGTCGACAACTATTTTTTTTCTCTCTCTTCTCATTGGATCAAAGAACCTCATCAAAATAATGAGAATACAAAACATTACGAATGAATGTTTAATGAATGAAATGCAGGTTTTACCATTTAAAAATATATATATCCACATTTGAATTTTTTATATTAGACCAGACGTGTACTTTAAGTAGAGCACCAAGCTTATGCATTTATCCATTTTAAAATGCTGTTTTCAATGCTTGCTGCTCATTCTCCATTTGTTCGAGTTTTCAATGCATTGAGCTTAAATATAAGTGAGAAGATCTAATGAACCAATCATGAGGATATACGATGATTATCTGCTCTTATCAATGAGCGTGGTCTCCAAAAATGAAACTATAGGAAACGCCGCAAAAAGCACTTAATTTATCAAAGTAAATATTCACTCTGTTTTGCTGTTGCAACTTACATTTGGCTTTTGATTGTGTGATCTAATCACAGTCATTTTAATGCGTTTCGATTGGAAAAGTGACAAATTATTTACGAATAGTGAAATAGAACATTTTCCGTTTTTCAAAGTTCAATTCAAGATTGTTCTTATATTTTAGAAATCCCTTTTCTCCGATTTTCAAATCAAATCCACACTGAATATATCGTGATTCTCATTCGGTGATTTTCCATACATTCAATTTCACCATAAATTTGTATTGGATTGTACTGCATATCATTTAGTGTATTCGATTCGATGGTTGCGTACCGTTCGATGTGAATAAGATTAATGAGCTTCGTGCTCTGTTGTATGTGGAAAACAGATCGAATTACATCAGTAACAACTTCTGTGGTCTTTTCGAAATCTGAATGCATCACAAAAAGCGTTTATTTATTCTAAAAATATCCGTTTCACTGGAAGGGAGATTAATTCACCACAATTCGAAATGTGTTTGGTTGTCGATATCAATGAAACTTCGAATACATCCTGTACAATATCATCTAGATTTAGCATCAAAGTGATTTTATTTCTGTTTTGTTTATTTTGGTATTTTTTCTATGAATTCCATTTTGGCATTGCTATCCATCAAATCCGTTCGAAATTCACTTGATGATTTCTCTTTGTCAGTGTCGAAAACTAAACCAACGAAAAAATTGGAGTAAATGAAAACTAAGTAACATGGATTGTGTGTTTAGCTAATTTCTGTTTGTGAGTATTTGTGAAAAGTAAAACAAAAACCTCGTTTGTGAACTTGCTTTACGGTTTTCGTTTATTAAATTTGATTCAGACCCTTGAGCCACATAGTAGAGTGTGGCCGTCACCCGTCAGTTACACACACCGGCCATTTTAATCGACCATCGAATTCCACAAAATACAAAAACACATTCGAGTTTCATGTGAAACGATTTTAGTTAATCGATATTGTTTGGTTTCTCTCTCTCTCTCTCTCTCTCTCTCTCTCTCTTTCTCTTTATTTCGGTGTATTTGTTTTCATCACAAAAACTTTTTGTGGCATTCTCTTTTATTCTATTTACTCTCGCGACTATTGATTGTGCCTATAAAAGGAAAATGGGAAAATTGGCGAAAAAGTAGCGAGTATATGCGAATGGAATTGGAGATGAAAAAATCGACTGAATAAATCTCCTTCTCAATGCTTTGACGTTGGTTATTTATTGCGATGAGTAACTCTTCATTGTCTTTATTTTTCTTCTTTCTCCCTTTTTTTATTGTCTATCTCCGTTTCTTAGCTACAATTCATATGTTTTCTTCAGCCGTAAATCGATTTACTTTGTTCGATTCGCTTGCCTTGGCAATTTTGTTTATTCAACTGTTGTGCTCATGGGGGCGTGCGCCATCGACTTCAATGATGCTTATCTCCCTTGAATGTGCTTATTTTGATTTCATTTCGCGTGGACGACGAAATGAGATGTAAATAATAATAACGCTAGTCGCTTCATCGTACTTCAATTTTTCGCTCATTTTCAGGCACTTTTGCCATTTCAATTTTCATTAAATTTGCACAACCTGTTTCCCAGAGAGTGTGTCATCTCTCCCTCTCATTCATTCAAACCCACGCTTTTTTTCTCGATTTATTCTATTTTTCAAATCTAAATAAAGTTTACATTACACTCATTCTTTACACAAACTGCATTTCGAAGATATAGATTATATGTACAATGTTCATCTATATCTGCATATATAACAATAAACCAATCTATTGGAACATTGTACCAGGCAATTGTATTCCGGTGTTCCGCTTATAAAATGGAATTTATTTATAAATATAGAAAACGATTTCTGGCGCGAAAATACCTGTGCCAAGAATTTATTTAGAAAATCGTTTCGCTTTTTCATTGTATATTTGCGCGCAAAAAAAAAAATATTGCTACAACTCACTGACTGGATGGTTGGCTTTCAGACATTCTGAGAATACAAAATATCAAAATAGATACACTAGACGAAGGGAAAAAAATAAAAGAAGACATAGTATATGTTGAATTTGAATTTTATTAGGAGCTTGCGACTCACACAAAATACTGTATAAATTTGATCAGATGAAATGAAATAAGAGCAAGCAAATAAAAACGAAAGAATGAGAAACGAAGGATTTATTTGCATTTCACATTTTCCTCTCCTCCCACTGTGCACTCCTCGTTCACATGCGAATGCAATGGTTATTTCAAACGCGCTGGCATTCAATATACCACACGCTGCTCTTCAGCTACACCGTTCCACTCTCACCGGTGCGAACGACAATCACAATACAACGAAAGTAATGTCAGCAAATAAATTGAAGGTGAAATGCCAAAATGAGCGCAAAGAAGCAGAAGATGAATAAAAAAAACGAACTCCAAACACAATGATTGATTGGACTCGATTTGATTTCGATAAGTTCGTTTTTGTCCGCCACGTTCGCTTCATTGCCAGTGGAAATAAATCGACTATCTGATTTACATAAATGTCTGTTTCGTTCCAATGAATTTTGATTTTTCTCTACTCGTACAAAATGATGTGTTTAGATAGTGTATGTATGTGCAACTATACAGAGAAGTAAATATAATGCACACACTCAATCGAGCAGCAATCTCGATTCGGTATTTTTCTTTTTTTTTGCAATGCTCAGAAAATGATGGTACTACTGTGCACATTCCATAATCTTATTTTTCGTGGGCGTCTGTGAACTTACAATGGATGCTGCCATTCAATACAGTTGAAATTGAAGTGAATCAGCAGCGAGTACATAAAATGTTCACATTTTCTTGAAAATTGAGTTAGGTCCATACATATCGAACAAGCCCCTCTTCAAAACTTACATATAATAATTTTCATAATTTACGATTTTTTTCTTCTTTTTGTTGCAATGTGTGTTGTACAAATATTATTTGATGAATGAAACCTTTATTCGCTTGAAGCAGTGCACGTAGAAATTGCATTGATTTTATCGTCGAAGAAAAACCAAAAACCAGAAATATTTTCTTTTGAAACAAAACGAATGTATTTTTTATGGCTCGAAGTAAATTGTGTTATCGAAGGTTATTGATTTACTGGCAAAAAGCATTTATTATAGTTTTACATGGTAAGTTTATTCGGTATGGTCCAGAGGAAGAGCGGTAGAGAGGAGACATACAGCTTTCGGAAAAATATCCCGAAACCATCATTTAAAATAGCTGTGTAAAACCATTGCAAACAGAGACACAAGAGAAAAGAAGAGAGAGAGAGAGGGTAAAATTTCCAATTCCCGAACTTTTTGAAAACACGAAAGAAAACATTTTGTTTGAGTTTGTGTCGTATTTTTGTGTGTTGTTTTTGCTTTCTTTAATTTCAAGTTTTCGACGGAATTGGTGATGGGAAAAACACACACACATACACATGGAAGGAGAGATAAGCTAAAACATATCGACTGAGAATAAGTTTAACGTAAAGCTTGTGAGAGAGACAAAAAAGTGTACGTGAACAAACGGAAGTAAAATGCGATAGCAATGGAGAAAAAAAGCAAACTATGGCAACCGAATTACATTTTCTAATCGAAAAGTTTTCTGTCTTCCGTGTTTTTCACTTTATTCGTTTTTTTTTTTTTATTTGTTGTTTGAGGTTTTTACTTTACACTAAAACTACCTGGCTTCTGTGATTTTATGTTCGTCTTTCACATTCCATCAGTCAGGAGTTCATAATTTATGTATGGTGAAACACGCCTTGCGCTCCCACATTTTCCGCTGCCACCGTTACAGTCTCTCTTTAACACTTATATTTGATTTTTGTAAAATGTTCACTGCATTCGGGTTCTTCACTTGGCAAAATCACGCGCGTTTGCATGCAACCGATTTAGCAAATTGCACGAAGTGAAAAATTAAATCGATGAATGGTGGAGGAAGAAGAAGAAACAATTTTGCGGCAATTTCAACAAAAGCTTGCTAAAATTCAATTTAACAAAATCAAAAACTAACCGCAACATTAATTAATGTTATGTAGTTTTACATTAAACATATACAACGATTTTAATGCATAATACAAAGCATTGCATTCATACATAGTTCTCTTTAGCTGAATTTCATGTGTTTTCCATCGGAATTTCAAAAGCTTTGATGCATTTTCGAGGAATCGGGAATTTTCATCGACAGATGCGTCTATGCGGAAATGGTAAAACCAACAACTTCCCGGAAAAAAGGCATACAAATGAAATATTCCATACTAAATGCATGGGTATGATTGAATTTGAGGTATATGTAAGCTCGTTGAATATTTATGTCATTTACATCATTTTTCATATGAAACTAATGAACACAGATTCATGTTGATGAGATGAATGCACTTACACTGTTCAGCAATAAAATGATGATTTCTTTTATGATAGATGATGATTTGTTTCATAAAATGTTTGAAATGAATGCTCTTCGTGTTTTTTGCATAACTTTTCATAAATACTTTTGTTCGAACATAGTCGTGGGGGAATTTCAATCAGAAAACAAGAACCGTTCGTTCTTCATTAAATAATTCATGAAATCTTGTTTTTCTGTTGATTTTAGAGAAAATTTAATAATCTGAATTATTCACAGATTTGCTTAGTTTAAAAACATCGATTCACATCATCGAAAAAACAAAACAAATACGAATGGAAAACAAATTCGTGCTGGAAATAGAATAGTCGGTGAACGGTAAAAAACGAGAGTTTTATTTTTAAAAGGGAGATTATATTTTCATCTACTTGGAATTTTAGTCGTAAAAAAAATATTTAATAAAACATATTATGGTACGTCACGTATTTTTAAGAACGAACAGCCCAAAAAAAAACATAAATCCAAAACCAATATTTTTCATTGGACTTTGGTTTTCGATGGACATATTGAAATATTGTGCATGTTACTTACTTTCGTTTCTTTATTTGTTTCATCGTGTAATTTTTCTTTATTTGTTTCATTGTGTAATTTTGTACAAGAGATTCTCACACACTCATGTTTTTTCTTCTCGTTTTTTCTGTGCTTTTATATCGGTATGTGGCGGATGTTTTGGATTACAGAGCCAGCAGCTAGCATTCTGGGTGGGAATGATGATATGTATGTTGACAAAGGCAGCACAATAAACCTAACGTGTACGATTCGTTTTGGTCCCGAGCCGGGTCATATATTTTGGTATCATGAAAATAAGGTAAGCAATCGTTTGTCTACATTTTTACCCAACATTTTGGTTTTACATATTTTTCCATTGCAATTGACATTCATTCCCATTGTGGCATTACTTAATTTAGCACACACATAGTCGGAGCAATAATCTCTCGGCGTAATAACGAAAATATAACAACGGTACTGAAATTATTATCATCATTTGGTTGTTTGGTGCGCACGTATTATTCCGTGTGTGTGTGTGTGGTGCACCATCTTATATGAAATCAAAAACCAAGATACGAATATCAAGGCATTTACATTTATATGGCTGGATGATGAAACGACGGTAGAATTTCCAGTGACGTATCTGTAAATAGGATTAACTATTGGCCAGAGCTTGAATCATTGTCGTTGGGTAAGCACGAATGCTGTGAGGAAGCGAATGAAAGAGATTTGATGTGTTTGGTATATTCTTGTGGTCGAAAATCGTGTAAATTCGCTGAACACTATCGCCCCAATTTCAGTGGTGCGTGCAACTGAAATATGTGTAGGTGCGGTCGCATCGGATAAACACACAAGATTTTATTTATTTCGATTGCAAGTGGTAAATAACAATCACAGGTTTTAGTTTTGTTCGGTTTTCTTCTCGCTTCTTCGACTGATTCCATAATTTATATCGCAGTTTCGTTCTTTACTATCTATTTTCCTCTTTCTTTCTCTCCTTCTTTCTATCTCTCTTTATATTCTCCCTCCTTTTTCTAGTAAATTTCTGTGCGCTCCGCAGTGCACATGGAATTTCTTTTTCCATTTCAATGAATGAAAACCGCAACACATACATATCTGCACAGTATTTCAGTATCTGTTATTTCATTATGTGCTTTACTTGTTTCATATCCTGTTTATCCAATTTGGATCTGTCATTGGTCTGTGTGCTTACCGTCTTTGCCAATATTTATCCGATGCCGAAGCGTTTTTGGATTTCATGAGCAATTTTTCGATTTCTCGTATTAAAAATAAAAACATCGAAGCGAATAAAAATATCTATATATAGATTGAATCAATGAGGATGAGGATGACTCAATTGTCTGCGTGTATGTGGTAACGAACCAGAATTTATTTTCTGTCAAAAGACCTATTCGCAAGACTTAAAACCAGATACATGCCGCACAAACACACACACACATATATATCCCGGTGCCAATATGCCATATTATGTCATTTTATTGTGCATTTTGTTTCAACAAAGAGAAAAAAGCACAGAATGAACAATACTGTAGTCTATGCGCCCAAATATAAACGTTGATGATATTTTGCTCTCGCATTTAGCACGGAAAAGTCAATTTCGAATGCCTATTTATCGACCGGCAAATAGAACTTTACTGTCGGCAAACTTATATATGTTTGTCGATGTTATCATGAAAACCACATTAGGCAGAAAATATCTCTTGTGCACTACATACCATTTGATTTGATTTATTTTCGCCCACAATATAACACACTACACGCACACTTAGTGCTCTGCATCGAAGCAATAAATAAAACTTTGCCAACGATTTTGATGCTATATGGGGGCTTATCATCACTGTGGCTCGAGGTGCCAACAATACACACATATTCACATCAGCAAATGCGAATTAATCTCTTTCGTTCTCTTTCTCTATCTCGTTCAACTGTGCTTCAAGTGCTATATCCATCGTATATACGTATTGAAAATATCTAGTATTTAGATAGTATCCATTATTAGATCTAAAAGTACATATAATTTAAAGACATTTTATGAGATTCGATTTTCAGCAAATAAATCTCTTCTGCTTCCATTTGCGATTCGGTATGGATGCCGTACAATTTTGCGGAAAGGATTTTTTTTTTGCTTCGGAAGTTTTTGATATACGGAAGAATTTTTCAACTATCTCAATAACAAAACTATTAAACTTATATCAAATCTCAATTTTAATTGCGAATTCTTTTCTCGCTTAAATTAATTTTCGAATGATTGAAACACTTAAGTTTCATCTCTCGCGTTTTTTCTTCTCCATTGTTTTTTTTTTTTCTTCAAATATCAAAGTAAGAGAAAAAGTGCAATGCCAGCAATTAAGTCAGCTAATGAAAATTGCATCGTGAAATGAAATCGTACGAATGAAATGTTATTGCATGCGATAGTGAGATGAAAATTGTTTTTGTGAACTGCGATAAAGCGGGCAACATGCGCAAATATTCGAACAGAGAAGCGAGATTATTTTGCAGAAATTTTTTGTTTTTTTGTATGAGCTAGTTTTATCTGAAGTTTTGTGCGAATGATACACGTTATTCGGTTGATTTCTTTTCAATTTCAATCATATAATCAAGCGCATACCAGCGCACTAACTATCAAACGTTACAATATTCATTTTTTTTAAAAAAGAAAACACTTTTTCAAACTTTGTGTGCTTAAGAAATTGATGTGTGGTAGCTGGAAGATTCACCATGCACCGAGCGAACGAATTCTAAAGAGAACGAAAAAATGCACCAAACAAAAGACTAGACATGAAGAATGCGAACGGATAAACAACAAACGTAAAACGCGCTCATTTTTGTGTCATCATCAAAAGTTCCATAATTTTAAAGCATTAAACTTTATCTTTTATTCGCTAAGTTTACTTTATATTGTCATGTAATTCATTATCATTCTTCATAAGTAAGTGGATTTCTTTCGTTTGCTTGATGAAGATAATGCCTGATGATGATAAACTGCTTTCAAATGAACACTGACAAACGACTTTCTCTATCACTCTCACTTCACAACAATCGAAACTATGACAAGAGAAAATGGATGCCGGTGCAATAGCTATGCATTACATTGGTGTAGAGCATCTCAAGAAACCGCACAAAGACACGGTGTGTGATAGTCACTTCTTTCCATAGATTTGTATCGCATTTCGACCGATGTGCATAGCTCGACATCATCTGCGATATAACAAAGTTTGCCATACTGTCAGTGTGTAGAACAATCGTCGTTCTTCTGGGATGCATTAATTATTGTTGAACATTAATTTGTTTCAAAATTAAGTACATATTCTTCAATTTCTCATGCATGAACCCATTCTTCTTCTTATTGTCCTAACAAAACTTTGAACGTGCGCGCGCACATCACGGAAATGAGTGTATCGAGTGAAAATAGAAGAGTAGTAATTAGATATTTTTGTTGTTTTTATTCGCCTTATATTGATTTTACTATTTTAAATTCTTACGAATTTACAATCCAGATACTTGCTTTCGGAGCGTTTACGCACCATCATCAATATAAGGCGAATAACAACAACAAAAATATCTAATTGTTAAGGATTTTACGACAGTTCATTCAATAAATTAATAGTAAAAGAGTAGTATATTTGGAAAAAAAAATCAGAATGGGATCGCTCAATGAAGAACTTATATTTTTCACTTCATTTTTGCAACGGTATTAATTTTGAAAAATGTTGTAAACCATTTGCCCAACATTACCGTTCATTATATATGTTATAAAAGGTGGAGCACTTTTTGTGCGTTGTACTTGTGCCATGCTGTGCAATTTTTTTTATTGCTGATTTCATCATATATAAAATGAAGAGTTGATGTTTTTTTATTATTTTTATTATTTCACCTCTCGCACTTAATATCTTTTGGGTTTCTGTGTGTGAATATTATCCAATATTTCATATAAAATATAAACATACAATATAAAGTGCTGTTCCTGCAGTATGCACTTTTTCATGTTTAGTGCATGGCCACATTTTAAATGGCAAATGAAAAAAAAGTCGAAAGAGTTAAAGGGTTGGAAATATTATACACACTTTTGCCTGATGTACGTTAGCACAAGTGTATATGTACTTGAGCTTGGGTGTATTTTGAGGTATTGTGTCAATGTTTGATATTTCTGCAGAATTAAATTGAAAATTTATGATCAACAGGGAGGGAGGGAGAGAGAGGAAGAGAGCGAGGAAAATGCATCGAGATGTTCTTATGTACATTGGTCGGTGATAACGATATCATAAAATAATTATAATTCAATGCATGGAAATATTTTCAAAAGCTCTCGATATACATTGTACATTCTCTTTCCCCTTGGCTGTTGGATTTTTCCCATCAAACAAATTGTAAATGTGCATTGTAAAAGAGTCGTGTCACCAATAATTCTATATTGGAAAGTTAATAAACAGGCAATATGAAGCAAATGAAATATTTAAACAACTGATCGAAACATAAATTAATCTCACTATGCATTCGAACAGTGCGGTCACTGCAGATGATCTATAAAAAAGAAACAAAATATGATTGATTTCTATATTTGATGGGACATATTCCAACTGTGTTGGCTGGTACGACTATTCTCTAATTTGCTGTACTAGTATAACCGAAAATAATTGTTGGTTCTATTTTCAGTCTTTCGACATCATTTACCTTTGCACATTTCAAATAAATAAATTTGTCTATTTATAAATTTAATTAAAATCTGCGAATGGTTTTAACATTTTGCGCATTGTTAAAATTCATTGCAACCCATTAAAATTGCATTTTACACAGAAGCTTGCGGTCTGTTAATGCTGTTGACAGCTGATGCCTTTTTTTCCCTTTCGACTGATACAATACGTATTGAAATGCGATTCGAACCGTTATTCATATAGCTCTATGGTAAATTAATTTTTAATGCACACCCACAAAAGACTTCGACATTCGAGTTTAATGAAATTTGATGTGAATTTAATTATGAAATTGATGTTTTTTTTGTCAATTGTTATTTTCATTTTAAATGGAATTTATTTCATTGTTTCTGAATTGTATGAATATATTAATTGACAAAATTGCCAATCGGTTTATTGTATTCGTCCATTATTTTTTTCTGTACATGCTATCAATTCGATGAATAGTTTTATAATGATTAAATGTTATTTGTTGAATGTCATACTTTAATTTCAACGTTGATAAAGTTACATGCTTCCTTTGAATGAAATAAATTAGTCAAATTAAAGAAATGCTAAAATAAAGAGACAACATAGCTCGTTAGATATTTTAATGGCAAATTGACAATGTATATGTGTTTGTAGCAAATAAATTGCTTAGTACCTTATTGCAATGGCCAAGCATTGGTGGTAGCTTTAGTGTTCATTGCAAAACGTCCCATTTTTCTTGTAAGTACCCCTTGATCTTGTTTAACTTTCGCTTGACTTGAAATTAAACGATGTGAAATACTCAAGAGACATGCTTTGTTATCTTTTGCAACGGTTGTGTGGTTTACGATAACATGTACACACAAGAAACGTTACACCATATCAAAAACTTTTGCTTCGCAACGGTCCTGCCAACTACGAAAAGACTTTCAACCAAGGAGTGCATGAGACACACACACACACACTATACAGTTTTCAGTATAAAAATTTCGTTCGTCATCTTTTCCACATAGATTACAAAGTCTTTTACTTGCATAATTATCATTTATTTTATGTGTATGCACTAATATTGTTGCCAATAAACTCAAGCTCATTGAGCACGAATTGCGTAAAATGGCAATGTATTTATACATATATGAATAGATACGCATCAAATGAAAGAGAAAGAGTATGTGGAGAGCACACACGTATACACAGACAAACGAGCGAGAGAGAAAAAGCGAGAAGACAATTGTTGCAAATCGACGTAAAAGGCAGCGATGTTACAAAGTGACAAAGTTTCTTTGTCATTTCACTTATCTATGACGCATCGTTTCTGTAACTACAAAGAAATACTCATGAGACATCCCTAGCATATTGTTATATCGGTTATCTCCCTTGTCGTGCATTTAATTTAGGGAATTAAATTCTTTGGTAATAATTCAAGTTGATTTGCTAAACTCTTATGCAACCTCATTAAAAACATAATTACTGCTGAATTCTAACGATGCAAAAATGCATGAAGCTCAATTGTTGTCTATATTACTTGCTCATTTCATATTAATACAATGCAAATGAGTAAGTTTAGTTGCACATTTTCATCGCTACCAAAAATTCATAAAACTTTTCTACAAACGAACGAACTTGGTTTTTTCGGAGCAAAGAAGAAAATGAAATAAAATATATTTTGAAAAAAAAAAAATGGTTCATTTAAAATTGATACACCTCAACTAAACTAACATGTGTTTGTGTTCGCTGAATTTCTAAACGAACGAGAACTATAAACCAAATATGATTTTCACCGAAGCGGTAAATGAACAAACCAAATGCACGAGCATAAACACACATACGATTTTTCTCTGTCAAGTGGTGGAAAACTTTTCGTAAATTCATGAATACATGTACAAGTTTTTGTTAGATGCGTTTGCCTCATGTGAATTCATTTAATATATCCACCCAAAAACTATTTCATATGCTCTGAATTTTTCCACACTTCGTCATATCGAAAGTGTTATAACTTTTTGTTAAAAAAAACGCCGTTTTTCCCTTGCCGTCGTATAGCGATGTGTTTTTCGTTATTTTTTGTAGCATGTCGTGCATGAAAGAGTGTGTAACAAAATCACAGAAATGAAGACGATGCGAACACTACGATGTGAATCTATTGACAATCTAATGTAAATCTAGTGATTTCAACTATGTCTCTTTACTCCAAAAATTTTGGGGTGCAATTGACACAATTTTTGTACAAAAAAAAATGACGAGTGAAAAATGAGATAGACGAGTGCTAACAGAGCTCTAGAGAGAGAGAAAGAGAGTAAAAAAAGGAAATAAAAAAACACCATGAATTCCATCAAAATTGTGTATAGTTGGAAATATAGTTAAATTTGATATTATATAATATTATTTGAGTTTCAACTTTAGCAATGCCATGTGATAGCATCTTTGCGACGAAAGCTGAAAAGTTTTCGGTTGCAAACTGAAATTCAATTAAGTTTAAATTGATTTGCCGACGGTAGAAGTTTTGCAAATCTGGCGGCTTCTGTAAATCTTATTTGTATATGACATACATAGCATGTATATGCAATGATATGGTATCTTGTGCTCATACCAGCTGATGATTTGATTTGTGAAGATGTGAAGTATTAAAATTTTAATAATAACAATAATAATCATTTTTGACTCGGCAATGTCATTCCATGTAGTACGATACGTGCAGCTAGATTTCATTATAACTTCAATCTCAATGACTTATATAATTACGTACAAGGTAAATTTTTCGCATAAAACCACACGAATGGGAAAATTAATTTTTCCACATTAAATTGTCTGATGAAATTACTATGAGGAAAGTGTTTCCGGCGATCATACATTTTTTACTGCTTGTGGTCATCATAATTTTATGATTCTCAATGGATGACAGTGGTCATACCCATCAATGCCAGAGGATATTTCATGATATCCATTCCTTTGCATTGTTCGAAAATCGATCGAAATTGGCAAAATAATGAATTAATGATGTGCCTCAAGCAATTTTTATCCAACTTCATCAAAAATGCATTTACCTGTTGATGTAAAAGCGTTTAAATATATAATGATTATTTAAAAATGTACGTGTTGTGTTAAAATTTAAGGTTTTGCCTCATTACTAACGAGGTAAATTATAATTACATTTTTTTCGTGATGATAAATGTTGCCCCCCTTTTTTACATGAAAATATTTTTGTAAAAAATATATTCCGTTTCAGATCAAGATTTTAACGTGATTTAAAACAGAGGTCGTGAAAATACATTTATTTTTTCACTATTGAATTGAAATGTGTATGAATATTCTGTAGTCAATGACAACGACAATAAAACATACTTCGCATTTCACTTGTCTACATTGAAATTTACATTTATTATTCGATATGGTAACTAAAAAGAGATAACGAGACAAAACCAATATAAAATATACGATTCAATCAAATATTTGAATAAAATACGAGCGAAATTGTTTTGTTGTATTCACTTCGAATTGATAAAATAAACATTTTCCTTGATCCGGTTTAGAGATAAATCTATGTACACACACTGTCTCTTTATGCACACAGAACGAGAGATTGCCAAATGGAACTAGCATTTCTGTTGTTTATAGTTCAAAATACAAGCATCAAAATGCAAACATTGACGAAAACGCAGAAACAACGTTTTATCTTTGAATTCGCATTTATTAAGAAATTATTGTTTGCACAAGTACATGGAATGTCATTTTACGGAAATGTAATTTACTTTGATAATAAAAACAAAAAAAAATAGATTTTGCTATAGAGAAAGAGTTAATAGTATGTATACATTCACTTATTTGCTCAGTAGTAACTCGTTCAATAAATTTATTTTATTTTGCTAAAATAAAGCTCCATTTGAATAAACAAACATGCAGCAGTGACGCCATGCCAATCCAAATAGAGTAAAATTGAATATGTTCATTTTTCATATTTAATTTCCTCGTGTTGTTGAGCTGTGGAAAATACGTATTTTTTTCTATTTCTGATGATGAATCTCATCGTTTTAGAATAAGTTCGTTTTGTTCTTTAATTTGCTTGATTCAATTTTTCTACGTTATTATTGACTTTGTAGATCCGACAGTTTATCTATTATCCCTAAATCCAATCTCAGTTGGAAATAAAACAATTCGGAAGCACACTTCATTTATCTTTATATTGGATTCTCTACATTTTCAATCTCCGGCAATATTATTGAATCGCACTGTTCTATTGAAAAATCATATTGAAAACATTTTGAGCAACATGGCATTTACAAAAAGAGCTAATATTTCACTCACATTTTATTACCAGCTTGAAATAACATTTCAAATTTTTCTCGTAATTAGTAAGATTGTGGATAGACAGACAGAGAGATAGAAAAGAATATTTTCTCACAAATATCTAATATCATACTTAAGAATTAAATTACTGTTATTGAGCTGGGTGATTCCAACAAAAAAAAATGCATGTTCATTGTTTACTTTCGAATGAAATACAATATTGTATAATGTATGTTTATATCGTTGAATATTTTTATACAGGAAATCAATTACGATTCGCCACGAGGTCGTGTTGCGATGAAAACACATTCTAGCGAATGGACAACATCATATTTATTAATCCATGGAGCAGATATCACAGATTCTGGAGTCTACGTTTGTGCGCCGACTAGTGGTGGACGGGCCAGCATCAAAGTGCACGTTTTCCTTCATGGTAATTTTCATCATCAACCAAATGCCCTAAATGTTTATTCATCATGTGATATAATATGTATATTCAATGATTTCTAGGCGAACGACCAGAGGCAATGCAAACGGGCACATCGACTTACATAGCAAATAACATAAAGCAAACTATTTTGATTAGCATCATCATTAGCACATACAATATATTCCAAAATTTCTACACCAGCATACTATTCTCGAGGCGAATACCAAACGAAATAACATGACATACGATGACCGTTGTACCGAAAATTCTCGCACATACATCATCGGCATTGCGGCTACCATATGAGATGTATGCCTATCAACGGTGATAGAATTGGCATTTGGAATTTTCTCGTACTTGATTGAAATTATGCGATTTTACCTTTTTTCAGCTCCGTTGAAATTCTAATTTCCTTTTCAATTTCGTTGAAATGTTAAAACAGAAACGAGGAAATATTTGACGGCACAAAATTGCGGATAATAAACGCATCGAGAATAGTTGACAGTTTAAGCGCGAAATATTTGTCACTTGTGGTCTCCTTATTTATGAATCTTTTACTGTTGTCACTGTACAACACAATTCCGCAACAACATTTCTATTACGAGTTGCAAGCTTGACACATTTGTAAATAGTTAATTTAACTTGAATACGTGTTAATAACAGAAACCAACCACAACCAAACACATTTAGTCTATTTGTAGTTATATAATATATTAATGAAATTAAAAATTTATCTCTATATATGATGTTCAACACTCATATGACGTGTTTATCAAATCAAAGTATTAGCAGAGACACAAAAAATGCAGTTTCACCCCCTTAAAAACAAACAATGTTAAGCATATTTATTACAATTGAATGTTTGAATGTAGCCATACAACGTATACAACACAATAGATGTAACATAAAATGAAATTCCATAAAAAAGCATCACAGTAATAAAAATGATCTTTGTCCATGTACGATATAATATACGTATATATCTATACAAATTATATATATAAAGAAGTTGCGTTTCAATTGGCCAAACTTTGTACATTTAAGCACGCTTATTACAATTCATTATGATAGAACAAAGAAGTGCAATTATGTATTATGCGGATGAATAGAGATGATTCTTGGCTCAATATCACACAAAATGGTTTGTATTATATTCATTGTGTAAGTATTTTATGTATAGAATATTCGTTCGTTCATTGTTCTATTATAGAAATCTGTGAGAATCTTTGCAAGAAAATGACATTGTTTATTTACTTTTGCTGTACATTTGGACGATATCAAAAACGGTATTCGGTTTCATTCGAAGGGTTTCTTTTTCATTTGAACTTTACACCACATTCCGAACACAATTAACAAAATTTCACAATTGTCCTCTTCTGTTATGTAGTCCGGAAATTGAGGGAAAAAAAACTGAAATCAAATTACTCAGCGATATGGTAAAGTTTGTGGCAAGGATAATGAAAGATACTGCTTGTGTCATGAATGCACAATGAAGGTGCAATCTGTGCAGAAAATGAATTCCATTCAATTCGGTGTACCGCATAGTACAAAATTGGGAGATTACAAATAAAGTTACACTACTTGTAGTCTGTACACGTTTCCTTGCATTCATCTACCTGGAATGAATAATTTTTCATTCAAATATCTTAATACATTTCACATTCTGTTTGTCATTCGATGGGTTGGGCCATTTCTCTTCATTGCAATCGTTTAATAGTATGAACGCTGAATTTTTAATACATAATTGACCACAACATTTATTCAGATGCGGATCATTTCTCAACAAAGGCAAATGATATGTTTTGAAATGATGTAATGTCTGTTTCTGGCATATGATTTACATTTTCTCCTTTGAAATGATTTTCTCTTTAATCCCGTCTGAACGGGACACAACAACACGATGACTACATTTTAAACATAAACTCTTAGCATACCACATTGTTATTAATATTTAACACATGCATTCAACTCAATTGGCTTGCACATATACATACACAATGTGTGTACCGCACACATGTGATGGAATTCAAAAGCGGTTAATTCTTTGATGCCTGCACTGAATTAAACATGAAGAATATTATTTGGTCTATAGAACCATCGCCTCCATCGTATCCACTTTGTTCACGGGTTTCTTTTTTTTCTTCAATGACACACAAGCTCGTCCATCAAACGTGGATAACAACATAATCGACATTAAATGATCCAAGAATGGAATCCAATCTATTTTCTTTGCCATATCATTGAATGCATGTCCTGCATGTAATTTTTTCGCATTTATGAATAGGAGCTGGCAGAGAGATAAAAAACCAATAAAAAAAATACATAGTACCAACCATAGGTGTTGTTCTTGTTGGTGGTGTTTTTTTCCCAGTGATATGCAATTTAAAAAGGCCAGAGCCAATGAAAGAGGGCATTTGTATGAGGTTCATGCACAAAGCAAAGAAAATCAAACACATTCACCGTGCATGAATGTGATCTAAAAAAAAGGTGTAATAACGATGGGCGAATAAGCTATTCAACTTTCACTAAACCCATTCCGATTCATATCGAAACATGAGTGGAGACTGCGTTTAATAGCATATTTGCTGCTTTTGCACATACATAAGGGAAATTGAGAGCTGCCTTCACTCATATCACCTAATTGTTTGCAAAAAGAGTTTTTTTTCCTTTTTATCTTTACAAGTTTTCGTTGCAAACTAACAAAATACGGGAAAAAAGACGATCTGATGGACGAGCTACATCGACCGATGAATGAGTTACTTTTTTAAGAATTTATTAAATGTGTACCACATTGCTTCGAGGAGATTGTTGAAAACTTAGCTATTTTTCAAAATATACATTTTTAATTTTATTTTAATTTAACCATCAGAAATAATGGGAAAAATATATATTTTTTTAAAAGAATAATGATTTTTTCTCATTGAAATTCCTTTATTCATTTTTATTCAAAGAAATCCACTTTGAACGGTTACTCGCACGCTTTGCTTCGGTCGATGATATCTTATATCTTATCTTATCTTTGACGAATATATCTCATCTTATCTAGATAACTAAGTTTTCTTTCGATATCTTGGTGGTATCTTTAGATCTTTTTAAGATATTTTGAGATTTTTACGAAAAAATTCAAAAAAATTTGAAAAATATATCTTATCTGCTTATAAAATTATTTATATGAAAAGATAATGAAATTATCTAGATACTTTTGAGTATCTAAAGTCCAAAATTTTTGTGATTTTTTCTGCGTAAAAATATCTTTGAAAGTATCTAAGATACACCCAAGATATTATCTTATCTTTGCGTTTTTTTAAGATAAGATATGGTATCTTACCTAGATAAATTTTTTGCCAAACTAAAAAAATCTCATCTTATCTAGATACCAAAAATTTTACAATTACCCAACACTGCACCCTCTATCAAAAAGACGCACTGTAAATGTGGTCTTTAGTGTTATCTCACATGTAAATTGTCAACTCCATTCATTTGATTCTAAATATGACTTTTGCGATAATTTTAATACTATAACACAATATAGTTTTCAGTTATAAAATATAGAGAAATATAAGGCGAACATTTAGTTTCGATCTTTGAAAACAAATTATTTTGAAAAATGTTGAATTTGCAATAATGCAATATTTTTCTATTCATATCACATACAGGGTGTCTCATATATCAGGCTCACTATGAAGGAGTGAAAATTTCTAAAAACCCTTCGTGGGGTATGTTGGGGGTAAAAAATAGAAAATTTCTATCGGAGCAGAATTTTGAATTTTTCCCCAGGGGGGTTGGGGGTGACCCCAATTTTACAAAACTTCATCTGATCAAAAAATAATGTACTACAAAGTTGTTCAGAATGACGAGAGAAATTTTTTGTGGCCCCTGCCCTCCAAGTCCCCCACCCCTTAAGGGGGTCGGGGGGTCAAAAACCCCCAAGATGTGATTTTTTTGACCTGAAACCCAAAAATTCGGAATCAGCATGAAAAATTACCTTAGAATCTATAATTTTCTCATGCACGTTTTTTCACAAATTTTGGACCAAAAAAGTGTAAAATCGACTTTGTAAGATTTGAGGAGCCAATTACTATTTATTTCGACAAAATACTCAGCACGATCAGAGCTGAAAAATTTTGTAAGATAGTATGCGCACATGAAAACATATTTTACATACGACGTACGCAACACAATGTACATTAGAAATATGAGATTTATATGAATAATTATTATATTTTTATTGATATTGAAAACAACAAATATTACACTATTAAGAATTATAAAAGTCTCAAATGCGCATTACGGTGTCCCTTCTCGAACTTTTTCAAAGTTTCTCCCTTTTTGAAATGATCTTATATTATTATAAAAAATAAAAAAAATAAATGAAATAAAAGACATTTTCTGCATCATTCAAATGTATTTTTTAAATGTTTTTAATCGAGGTTTTTTATTTCATTTAAGGCCATTTAAAATATACAAATATGTTTTGATAGTAGATTTCAATATTTAGTTAATTATCTTAACTGTTTTTTTATTTCTAACGATGATACAGAACATTACACACAGAAAAATTTGCAATGAAAACTAGATGACATGCCTTCCAAAATTCGGAACTAGTTAACAATCCGTCTAAAATTGTATGTGTCCATGTATTTTTCGTACAAAATATCGTTTTGTGTATTCTCTTTTGTGCAGGTTTTCTTCGTTTATGAAGTAAATTTTATGAAGTTTGCGATTTGATGCTATTTGACTTCTTCTTGTTTTTGTTAATTAAGGTTTTACTACATAAATATATTGGAACTTTTGTGGAAAAATAATAGAAAATGAGAAAAGATTCGTAGAATTATATTTCCTAAAGGAGTTGGTGAAAAAGTGAGTCTAATGTCAAATTTAAATATGCATTTTAATGCGAGTAAAAGAGACAACCATATAGATTTCACCAACTCCTTTCTATCAGAGCAGATTTTTGAAAAAATCCACCAGCAGAAAACAAAGTCGACATTTATACTTCCAATAGTGGTCCTATTATATGAGACACGCTGTATTTATGAATTCCAATTCCGGTATTTCGAAAATTCACGTGCTGCAAGGAGAATTCGGAATAAAGTCAAATTTTATCCATGTCATTCGTTTTACAAGTTTTATAAAAAAAAAATCCATCTACACGCGTATAATCTGATATGGAATGAGTTTTGGAGTTTTTAGTGTTCGTGCCGTAAGTTGGGTTGTAAACAAAGCACCGAAGCAGAGATAAAAACAATAAATCAACTTCGACGAAAACTATTACACTGGCGTTATTACTGCTGCAGCAGCAACAACAAAAGATTGGAATAATCAATAAAAATCATTAATTTTCGGAGCGGGAAATTCATTTTCTTTGGAAATATTTTCGGCATAAAGATTTCGCAATAATATGCTGCAAGTCGATATTACATAAGCACGTAAAGTACTCTCACTTCACTTCAATTGCACATAGCATGCGCTCGATTTGACCAATTTTGTTCGCTACATTTTTACCATTTGTTCTTCTTCCATCGAAAATCTTCTAGATTCTTTTAGAGACTTGCATTACTTACTTTATTCCAAGAATGTTTCCCATCTTCTTTTTTTCGAGGAAAGTTTGAAGTTTGCACTACTTGATACCGAAAATTGTTGCAAAAGAAACGAATTTCTAAGCGAAAGAAAAATAAGCGAAAAAATAGAGGGGGGAAAAGGGCGAAAATGAAATGCAGTCTCATGTAATTTTATTGCAAATAGTTTTTTTCTTTTCGCTCGCTTTGTATGCGCGTGTTGGTCTTTAATGTACGATGTGCGACAACGAAAAGCAAATGGGTGAAAAAAAAACAAAAATCTTCACTACTAGTTCGTCGTTGCAAATAAAAAAAATTTCGGAATTGACTAGTTTTTTTTATAAACGACCATATTGCAATCGTTCATTGTGATTGCACCAAAATAATATCAAAATTTTTGGAATCTCAGCCAAACCATTTTATTTTCACCCTCAAATGTCCATAAAG